CCGGTACCTAGACTATCACCAAGATCCACTGCAAAAGGGTACATAACTCCCTAGCATGATTTAGTAGCAACCTTACCCATCCTGGCAATTTCCAACACCATATGGGAAACTGCACACACATATTTCTGACTTATTCTGGAGGTGTGCCAACCCAATGTAGAAAACTGTCAGTTTAGGGGTACTTGTACCAGTACCCATCCTGACAGATTCCAACACAACAGGCCGATGGGTTGAGTTTTGTTAGGGTGCACAACACCTCATTAGCTCATGCCTTTGAGTTTGAAGCCTTTTCTATAAAAAGCCCCTGATTTTTTTCCCTTGTAAACAGAATGCCTCTTTAGCTTCCACTCCTCAGGGGGTCCGTTGCCAGATCTGACCTGGATGCTGTGAACGGAATGTTGATCCACATTCTTTTGAAAGACTGAAAAAAAATATATTAACAAAGGGCCAGGGTTGGGCATGCATTGTAACATTGCACATTAAAATTACTTTTAATAAATCATACATTGGGTGACCGATTAAGAGCTGCAGGCCAAACCACCAAAGCTACTCAAATAAATTGAGAGTCTTGTCATCTAGGGATGGTCTTGTTTACGCTTTTTCAAAAACTTGGCCTCCAGCTCCTAAAAAACCTGGATCAGTTTCAATCATCTAGAGACTTCCTTTCCTGTAGCACCTTGAAGATTTACTCTCTTTCATGAGTTGTAATCATAAAATACCCAACGCCTTCCTCTCCAAATAAGTTGCTGTTGGTGAAAGAATGTTTGCCTGACCATCTGATCCTTTCCACTGGTAAGATTTAGGCCCAGGAACATTCCAACAATTATGAGCTTGTAATCTTTTGCAGGTTTAGCCGGGCTGTGGATATCTGAGTGTGTGACAGTGATAGATGACCATGCCAGTAACTAGATCAGGGTTCACTTGATTTCCTAATCAAATTGTGCAGGGGGCATTCCACTATGCAATTTACAGCCAATTTGTATTGTTGCATGGAAATTAGTAGTTGGAAAAAAAGCAAGGGGGTTTGAAAAAGATGTAACATCTGCTTTAATATTGGCTTGTGTGACCAAAACAAAATTGTCCATGTATACATGTATATACCTAAAGCGCGATTCATACATGTACTTTGTGCGAAGCGAATTTGACGTCTTGAAACTTTCGCTGTGAAATTCGCCCCAGATTGAAATGTGTTCAACTTTTACAAATTCGCAGCTCAAATACTTGCCATGATGGCACAAAGTCGTGTTTGCTTTCGCTTTCACGCAGAGGATGAAGCGGGCTTAACTGAGTAGGCTTAGGTAAAACAGACAAGATGAATATGTAGTTGCAAATATATGTTAATCATGTGCATGTTTGCTTTCATATGAAGGCTTACATGTACATGTGCATATAAAAATCTATTAATACCCATAAGTACATGTACTGGTACCTGTACAATTCAGGGCAATATATTTCAGGCCTTGTCTTTGTTTGTGTCTTCAGCTACTGCTCCAATTTCCTGTTATGAGACTGAATGAATCCAAGCTTTCAGAAAGGCCCGCACGTTAGCAACAGCAAAGCTCCACATTAAACAGTTGAAGAACCGAGCAATATTTGGATAACCTTGCTTCACACCAGCATTTCCATCCTCCATCAAGTATTTGCCCCAGTGAGTTTTAATCTCGGCTAGCCCTTGTGCTTCCAAGTTAAGTTCCAACCATCCCTCCTAGCCTGTAATTCAAGATGGCAGCCTTCCCTAGCGATCCAGTGGAGATCTGACCCTCCGTGATGTCCCTTGCAGCGCTCCTAATGCACCCCTATAGTGAGGAAAACTTACCAGAAAACTCCTGACAGGCAACACAAATATATCACTCAATATCCCTGAGCAAAACTTTGAGGTCAAAATCTGATTTCGAGTCCCTGCCGTGTTATTTGTACACGTACAGGTAAACGATCAGTATGATTTTGATGTTCATACTATGTACCAAAGTATGATTGTCAGAAATCACTTTTTAAGAACAAAAACAAAGACTCATCACAGCTACCAGAGAATATCCTCGCAAATAATAGTTGTTGGTAACCTGCTTTTGCCTGGCAGAACTTTTTTCTTGTCACTTTTTCTTGCTACTTTTGTAAAATTTGCCCCGGATTTACATGTACAAACAGCTTTGGCTGGTAACCAAGCACAATTAATAGAGGACTATTTGTTAGCCAATCTGCCCGGTAGCCCGCAGGTACCTCTTGAAGGTTGTCTTCATTACTTAAATACTTTGATTGCATCCCTTGCAATTGCAAATTCCTCTTCAATTACACAGTACAAATAGCAGTCTGAGAGTCGTCAATGAAATTTTGATGCAATCAAAGCCTGTGTCAACATCCTGTTAGATGCGGAACATTTTGCTGTGTCCACTCCGAAATTCCCCTTTTCTGCGTGTTATATTTGTTCACATATGCCAGCTATCACTTTTGACATTTAAAAATTCCGGCGTGAATGACCTCTTTTAAATGTGGATTAATCACGCCCCCACTTACACTGTTATGGTCAGAAAGCGAATTTGGTCCGTAGTTCATCTGTGGAAATGGATACAAGCTCAGCTGAGAGTTGACAGTACTCAGAAAGTTAACACAGTGAACTGGATGAGCCAATCCCTGGATTTTGACTATGCAAATCCCTTGATCCTCCCCGAAGATGCCTTTTACTGGTTTTAGATGTTTGATTCTGATCTGAGAAAGATGCTTTCTCCAGAAGGATGAGGGTTTGCTTGCTCAAGTTCGGATCTTCGTCACTGTGCACATTGACGTACTCTTTTAATCGCTCGGAGGAGACACCCAAATCTTGTGGATCATGGATGGAAATTTCTTTGGGAGTTGAGTTACCTGACTCGCCGTCAGTTTTTGACGTTGGAGGGTATTACGGGCAATCTCGATTCGGAACCAGTAAGAGGCATTTTTATTTTACCAGACATGTCAAAGTGATGACATGTTTAACGCACACACATCGTTGCTCGTTATACATGGAGTGTCATTCACATGATGTGGTCATGTTTTATTGGTCCCTGGCGGTTTCGAGAATTCCGGGATCGGCTGAAATCATGTCTCCCTGAAAGTTGTGTTTCAAATTTTGTTTGACTTTTAACCCTTTAGCTCAGTTACTTAACTCCTCCATGAAGTCATGGAACCATAGAGATCTGGGGCGGTATCAGGAGTAACAGGAATGGAGGTTCAGGGCTAACAGATTAACCAGCAACATACACTGTTGTTTCACCATGACTTTGCAGTTGTAAAGTACAAACTCTCAGTGATATAGATTGTGCATTTGATTAAGCACCAACTGCCTGTTTTCCTCAGCGAAGTGTCAAAACAATCCGATTGGACAGTTGGCACTTTGACAAGCCACACCTGTTGCCCTGCTTGTTATGCTGATTTAACCTTGGTCCTGAACCTTTGCCAAACTCAGAGAAAACTGAATAACAAAAATACATCAGCAGTTGAGGCCTATTGCGCAGGTCGGTGTTGTTTGTGTGATCTTTTGGAGGATCTTCAAGTTGAAGTTCCAACCCTAACTCCCTAGCATACATGTAATTCACTAGGAACCATACCCATCCTGGCAATTTCCAACACCATAATTGGAAACTGCACACACATGTTTTTGACTTCGATTCTGGCGGGGTGCCAACCCAATATAAAATGACTGTCAGTTTAGGGGTACTGTACCCATCCTGACAGGTTCCAACAAAAGATAGCTTTGGGGTTTGATGGGTTGGGGAGGTTAGTGTTAAGGAATTGTCTCAAGATTCTTTAAATTTTAAGATTCAAGCTTGCAGTACCTTGCCCATTCTGTCAATACACAAAAAGGCTCTCCCAACTTCTCATCGAGAATGTTCTTGTCCCCAAGTGACACTTACTGAGCCACAATGATGGAGAGAAAACTTTCCAAAAAGTATATGTGTGTGCAAATGTGCCATGCCTCTCCCTTCCGCATTTGCTGTCCGCATCGTTTATGCCTGTTCAGTTTTTGTTTGTCACTAAATTATGTTGTTTTTCATATAAGTTTTGAGTCCACAAAACAAAACTTATAACATGGCCCCTGATGCGTGACATGTAACAAATATGCAAGCGGAAGGCTGGGGACCATACCTTGTAGCGGCAGTTTCCTGACGTTTGTCTGTTTTTGTGATCTCCCCCTCTTCAATGACATACTCAACAGGCCTGTGTTTCCTCTCAGATAGTGCAATGGGAAGGCAGTTGCACCCCTCGAAAGGTGTCCGATAGAGAGACAAAAACAGGTCAATTACGAGTGAATGCACTCATTACCATTTAGCAGGGCTTTTAAAGTGTGTTGTTACACAGATCATGGAGGAAATGCATAGATTGTTTCCAGGGTTCGATTTCCTTACCTGTACTGCAGGAAGTACCGGTACATGTACAATACTGTGTCGACTGTACCTACAGTAGTCTACATGTACATGTACGTACTAGTGGTAAAAGCATGCATGGAAATGGTATTGTCAAAGAATTCCAAATTATAGCCCTCCTATGCAAATAAACGGACAGCCAAGTTGTCCGTTTAGTCAAAATCAATCAAGTGACTGTTTTCAACAGTTCAGTGCTCCCAGCATACATAAAGCAGGATTGACTGGCTGTGACTGTTTGGGTAACTTTACAGAGCTACCGTATGTTTTGACTGGGGGTGATTGATAAGCCAGCTGTGTTGACCACTTGTCTGCTTTTGTCTGTTGACTGAATTTGACTAGTCACAGTGCTTGCTTGAAATATGATCAGACTGTTGGTGTCTAGCCTGTGTCAAAGGCATGGCAGAGGAAGAGGATTGTTATTTTGATTGTCTGTGAGTGTGACTGTTCAGATAGCAGGAGGGTTAGGAAATACAAACTTATTGTTTTGTAACTTTCGGTGAGATTAAGGCTAGTTTTCAGTATTCATTTTTAATGTCAGGAGTCATTGAATATTGGGAAAAAAAATAACAAACTTAAATTTCCATTCTTTTTTGTGTGTGTCTTTAGGCGGACGGGGAAGATGAGTTGAAGAAGAGACAGCTGATGGAGTTGGCGATCATCAACGGAACGTTCAGGGACACCACCAGCAAAGCGCACCAAAGCAGCAATCCGAACACACCCCTCAGTAAGTGTGCTGAATCCGACAATACCCAACAGTACCTTAAGTATGAACCCTACGGAATGCGTCATCTAACAACAGGTACTGAGGTGTGAAGTTTGCTGAATCCAACAGAATCCAAAAAGATTTTTCATTCACTTCCCAGACCAGCATACATGTTATCCAACAGAAAATGTTTGAAGTTGGATCCAGAAGAAAACCCTAACTCCCTCTTTCTTGGCACCCTGCAAAACCCCACAAAATCCAAGAGCTGTAATCGAAAGGTCTTTTGTTCTACGTGCAGCTGTGATCAGTAAAATCTAATGGGAAGTAACACTGTTGGATTTGGCATGGTTAGGGTTAACCTTTTCTTATACATGTTACATTGTGTGTCACATCATTTCAAATTTGGTTCACATTTCACAACAAATTGAAGGCAAGTAACTTTATCCCCACAATCATACATTTATTTCCCCGTGACGGTCTTGAACCTTTCAGCACTTTTGAAAATGCATATGAATTGCACCCCACTTTGAAACTTCTTCCCTTCTGTTACATGTACATGTATACATATCTATTTTGAACTAACCCCTCAAACCAGTGTTACCAAATTCCTGTATCCTTTCTTGCGACCCCACATAGTTTTGTCAATTCTTTTAATTCCAATGTTCTTAACGAACCATTAACGTTACATTGTTTCAGTGACTTGTACATAGGGTGCTGGTGATGATTAACTAACGTTCTTGGCTGACTGCATTTAATAACAATCACTTTTGACTTTGTTTCGTTTCCTAAAGAAACACAGTAAGGAAGATGTAGTTGAACTAAAAATATTTAGAAACTTGGTTTTGATTACTCAACTTGTTTTGTTGAGTTACATGTACATTTACTACCATAACAAAGTAATAGACACTAGTAGCACAACATGTCGCCTCGCTGCATAAAAAAAATTCACATACATGTAGTTTTAATACCAATATGTTGAGTTTCCATTCAGAAGAGTGTTCTTCATTTCTAAAAATGCATGGTTTGAATTAGATTTTTTGCAAGCAATTAAATTCTTGTACATACTGAGTTTTCATCAAGTATGAACTATACACAAAAGTAGAAAGTAGTAGCCTTCATGTAGATCTTCATCACGCCGTCAGATCTTGCATCTAGCTTTTTTTTTCATTTCAAGTCGTTTGATCTTTTAGATTTGATTCTATAAAAGCCAACATACCGGTAGATGTAGGTTTATATGCATGCAGTGAGACTTAACCTTAGTTCATTGTAACAGATTCCAACCCTCCACCCTTTTCCAATTACAGTGGAACGTTGCTATACCGAACACCGCTATACCGAACATTAGCTATACCGAACATTATCCTTGGCTCCCAATTTTTGTGTACAAAATGCCATCGCACATTGTTGCTGCAAAATGTTACCAGAAGAGTGACAAAGTGGCTATTATTTCCCCCAAGGAATAGAAGGGGGAAGCCACTCATTGCTGTAGGAAGTAAGCTTAAAAACTGTGTAATTTCATGATTCAATAGTCACACATTTTCAAAAGCCGTCTACTGCTGGGTAACAATGGTCAAAAGAGGGTGCCACTAATATCTGAAAAATCACAAGCTGGCAAGTGTCGGCTTAAAATTCCTATACGGAAGGATCTCCATTACAAACAATTTCTGTGGATCCCGTGATGTTCGTTAAAGCGACGTTCCACTGTAATACAATTTCCACTAACCTTTGCATTATGTAGTTACCGGTAATATCACTCATATTAATTGTCAAAATAATTTTGCTTTAACAGTCATCTTTAGGCCAATGAACATCTTTGTCCTTCGGTTTTCATAACGCCTCATGCTTTGAAGCACTACTCATTTTGTCCTCTGCAAAAGGTGTGCATTGTCTTCCTTTATTTATTGAAAGTGATTCTTGGCTTATTCTTAATTCCGTTTGCATTGAAGAGTGGTTTAACCTTTTTCATTTCTAGTTGAATTACCGCCTGGTGGCTGCACATTCATACCAGGTAAAGACAACTCCCAGTGTTCTTTCCGTAGTCAACTAACAGCCAGAGAACCAACTAAACGAATAAACCAAACCAACAAACCCCAACTCAACCGACTAACTCTCACGCACCACTCGGCCAAGGTGGAGTGTGTTTGTCCAACCTGTTCATGTAATGTGTGTTTTATTGTACGCAGCCTCGCCGAGACAAATGATCCCGCCGGGTACCGCTCTCATCCCGCAACCTCTGAGGTCACCGACACCAGCCGCCAACCCCCAGCTCATCGCGCACCCCTCGGCCGCGCTCTTCCCACGGATGGCGAGCGGCCAGACCATCCTTGCCAACGGCATGGCCCCGCCCATGGTGTCTACAGCAGATGGGACCAGTATTATGTTCTCTCCTTACGAGCACTACCCCTACGCCATGACGCCCACCATGCTTGACTACCCTCCTACGCCTTCCGAGGGTACCATTGGTATGTCTTGTATCGGTGTGCATTGATCTCGCGCTTCACAATTGATCATGCAGCCGATGTGTCTCCGTGATCTGGACTTTGACAGTCACTTGTATTTTTCCTAAAAGACATTGTCCTGCACACCAAACTCTTGCTTGTACCAAAAATTGGACATTTATTCTATTTATTAAAGTTGTTGCGAAAAATCCCTTGTAAGAAAGTGAACGCTTGACTTAAAATTGCTACAAATGGAAAAAAAAAAACTCTTTCACTGAATGAAGTCAGTTTTTAAATTAAATATTGATCTGAATACATGAGTGACATTAATTTTTCTCTGATTTTGAATTTTTATTTTACAGTTGGACAAATTTGAGTTTTGAGAAACTCATAGCAAAGTTATAGTAGCCAAAGATTTAAGACAAAAATACCAAAAAGTATTTCGTTTATTTTCCAGACAATTAGAATAGTAAGCACATTAAACAAAGAAAAAAACTCAAAGCACCTTGGTTTCGAAAACAAGAAATAAGGAAAGATGACAACTCAGGAATGTCTGAAGAAAAACACAACCGATTATTTGATCCAAAAGTCCATTATCGGAAAAACGGTTTCTTCAGGTTTCTTCAAGTTACAAATCTCAAAAAAAAAAAAAATGGGGGAAAAAAAACAACAGTTGCACAACTCAGTGAGTCTATTCCTTGATACTAATTCTGTAGTTGGACTGATACAAAATCTCTTTGGAAATGGCATTTTTTTTTAATAGTGGTGCACTGCCAGTAAAGATCAATAACTCCAATCATGAATTAACCTCATAACACCCTACATTTGTAATAGTGAATTTGTTTTTGTATGTTAATTTGGCCGCATTGACCAAAAAAACTGCGTAGTCTCACTAATTATTGAACCACTCATACTTTTTTCTGCAGCTCATCGTCTGGAGAGTGCTGTTGTAGCCAATGATTACATTAACTTGCCTTAACTTATTACATCACCTTGAAAAAGAAAAAAAGGAAAGAGTTTTTATCTTGAAAACTATCCAAAAAGCAAAGTAGGTTTTGCTGTAGATGCTCAACTGGAACTCAGAAAAGAAATATTTTAACACATGCAAATGAACATGTTCATTAATGTCATCACTATAATGATAACATTTTTCGATTCACGTTTTTGTTCGCTCAGAAAGAAACTTCTGCCAATGGCTTCAGTTAAACCAAAAACCAAATAGATATTTTTTTTTTCATCCTGCCATTTCAATATTTACAAAAAAAATTCCCAGCAAATGACTGTAGGAAGAATTCAGAGGTGTGCAGTGACTTTCGTACCGATATGTCGCACTCGGTTATATCTTGCATTGATTCATAATAGTGTAGTTTCACTTGCATATAAATCAAGTTGGCTCTTTGTTTCTGTCACATGACTGTCACATTGGATATGTTTGGCACCACAGAAGAAGTGATACTGATTGCTTTTGTCGTACAAAACTTGTAAAACTCGCACTTGAAATGTCTGTAGTCTCTTGTAGATCTGCAGAGGAAAAACAACAACATGTTTAGTGACAGAAACAAAAAGCCCTCGTGATTTAGGAGACATGAAAGGTTTTTTGTCACACTAAAAAAAAGAAAATAATTTCCACAATTTCAGCTAATACTGAACCACTTCTGGTCAACATAGTGTGGAGGTGTTTTTTTTTTAATTCTTCAATTCCATGGCACGTTTGTAATTTTTTGTAACAATTCCACCTCTCGTGTTTCTTACGTGGTTGCTTCTCTTTTTATGGAACAGCATGATAATCTTTTTTTGCAAATCTGCCTTTCTTAAGCGTGACCAGAAATCTTGCATGTCTCCATTTGTGATTACCAGCTTGAATTTCTGGCCCCATTTGTTTCTTGGAAACTACATCAGATGTTTTTGATGTTCATCTCCTCTTTGCGACTGAATCTTTGCAGTTGCCAGTTGCCTTAATTTTTCCCTCCTTACCAAACCCAATTCCGATCCTGTCTCCTCCCTCGACATCATCTACTTCAACCTTCAACCATTAAAAAAATCCTCTCTCTATTATTTCCTAAAATGTTTTCTAAATCCCCTTCTTCATATGTATTCCACATCTCCTTCCTCAATTCTCCTTCCTCAAGACACCCACAAAATACCGACATCCAGTGCTTCTTCCTTCACCCAAAATTCACCGACCTCGGTCCGTCATTTTTGTGTCAAAACTTTTCAAAATCTTTATCTCATGTTTTTGAAAATTAGGTCACTGCATTAAGCATTGTCATTTGCAAACTAAAAGTTGAACATCAATAGATCTCATGCACATGTGTTTGAAATTCCAAAAAGCTAGCTTCACAGCGTATCTGCTGAAAAGCTTGCTTTTGAAATCATCAAGATCTGTTCAGTGGTTGGAATAGAATGTTAATTTTGAATCTTCTACCAACTTACGTTTTTAAGGGCTGTGGAATACATTGAGTAGAGCACAAACTTTTTTGGAAAAAATATCTTTGCATTGATGCTTTAATCGACACTTCAGAGCCTCAGCCTCTCTCTTGACTTCCTTGACCTCCCCTTCGAACTCTCTAAAACCTCTGATCCCACTTCTGCCACCAAAACCTCTGATCCCACTTCTGCCACCAAAACCTCCCAAATGATGATAACCAACCACATTGACTATTTACTTGTGCATGTATGTGTTTGTGGCTAACCTGCTTGGACACGTTTGTATACGCATCAGGTGCTGTACCCAAATTACGGAGAGCAATCAGGGAACACCCTTACCAGAGGGTCCTTGATTCACGAGGTAATTAGACACATTTTCTCACTCTTTTAACTCTTGTTTATTGCATCTGTTCCTCACTTTTTTTGCCATATTTTTGGTGACCTGTTTGGCTTGTGTTTTTTTTTTCTATCTTCTGTTTGGCGATGGTTGCAATATGCATTTCCTCATACTGAGCACAGAGTTCCAACATTGAAATGTTTTTGAGACGAGTGTTTGGTTTTTATCATGGTACATATGAAATAACGCCTGTTTAATATTAACTTTAACATCCAATCTGTTGATACTAAACTAAGAAATTTTGCTGGTCGCTATATTTTTTTTCTTCAGATTGCACAGCTCCATCAATAACAAATATCACCCAACGTCAATTTGTAGAACTAATCTCTTTTTTTAGCCCTTGATTATTAAACATTAATTCTTGAAAGTTTTCAGAAAAAGTGTTCCAAAATGTAGATTCCATGTACCTGTACTAATTTCACCCAAAATTTCGTTGTGCAATTGTCCAAATTGATTTGGAAAGAACATTTCATTGCAGGTGAAAGAACTGCTCATTTAAATGACAGTGCTTGCACAGTTATCTTTCAATACTTCCTGAGAGGTTGAAGGAATTATATTGCTTGAAAACTTTTGGATTGGATAAACTTCAAAAATGGAACCTTAAGTTAGTAAACATAAGGAATAACGAAACAAGCTGTGAAAGAACATGCTCAAATTTGAATGATAAATACAGTGTTTTCAAACTGATTATTAGTATATCAGGACCGCCCATGAAAGTTACCATCGATTAAATGCTTCTTGCCGTATTAATAAAGGAAAACCATTTCGCGTCGAAAAAAAAAGAAAGAATTAAATGTCCAACTAGCCAGTGCAGCAATTTGGTCAGATACCGTATAGTAAATGTAAGATCTTCTAAACCCCGAAAGTGATGAACTTTTCTGCTTATTGTATTCATTTGTTGCTAAGGTATTACAGGTTGGTTAAAGAACATGTACCGATATGTACCTTTGTTTTGTAAAATCTACTTTGCAAACAGACGTGTACCATTGAAACAAATTATTTTTTTTTATAAATGGAAACAAAAGACATTTTACTGTTAGAAATCTGTGCTCATTATGGAATGTTTGAACGAGGTAAGGTCAGGGGGAGGCTCATAATTTACCAAAAAGAGGTTTTATCGATAAAAATATGTACGTTCTTAGCCTGGTTTAGCATCATAGGTAAGTAGTAAACCAACTCTAACTCCCAATTTTAATGACGAATATTTCTGAACCGAGAAAAACTAATTCCAGTGTGCAGAAACCTGACAGCACATTCCTGCAAGGGGCGCCAAATCCCATGTTGAGAAAAAGTGTTTGGGCTCTACTTTCCTGAATCCTACAAAATCCTACAAAACCTGTTGGACTTTGAAGGATGATCTTGAAGGGTTTAAGCCACCCTCCTGACCTCACCTCTGTGCTTATTTCATGACAAATGTTTCTTTTTTTGCAGCTGAGTGCAATTTTGTGTGTTTTAATTGCGAGAGAGAGAGAGAATGTTTATATTAAGTTGGGTCAGAGCACAAACATATAGGCCAGAATTTTCAGTGGAGTCCCACAGCATTCATCAATAATATTGTACTGTCAGATATCTAGCAACTTTCTCATAAATGTTCAACAACAAAAAGGAAAAGAAAAGCATGCGCCGCAATATATATTAAGAAAAACAGTGGTACTTCAAATTGTGAAAACGAGAAAAGTAGCACCAGTTTCTAAAACATTTCAGTTGTACAAGTTCAGATCTGGTCAGACATTACAATTTTGACCTAAGCCTTCAAATTTGACTTATCTTTCTCGAAAACGGCAGGGCATAGCCAACTTATTCCACTGAATGCTGGGGGAAAAAACTCTGAATCCCTGATCTGGTTGAATCCATGTGTGCTTTTATTGAAACCTTTTTGTTTTTTCCGTCCAAAGAACTGTGCTCTTACCCCTTTGTTACTCTCTCTGACAGTGTTTATTTTTCCTCCGTTTTGAATTTGAATTGATGTTTAAGTTTTTAAGGACAAAGCTTTGCAATGTATTTTTTTTTTTTTTAATTGGAGATCATATATTGGTATTTTGGTGGTTGATATTTTTTAGTTATAAGCGGTAGGGTTTTATATTATGAATTATGGTTATTATAAAGAGACACAATTTGTAGAACAGATATATATATTGTTATGGTAAGATATGGTATTTTGTAGTATCCCAGGGTGTGCTGTATACTTTATTTTGGTGGGAAAGAGGTATTTTGAATTTTCATGGCTAGGCCATAGTATTTTGTATATAAATTATTTAGCATTTTATTTTGCATTGGTATAAGTTTCAGAATTTCATATGACAACTTCTGAGACAACAAAAAATGGTTTCCCCCTTTTTTCTTGAGGGGAAGTGTGGAGCAATATGAAACCGCAAGATTTTCATAAAACTGATCCTCCTTCTGTATATATCTTAGGCGTTCAAGTGTAGTAGTCTTTCGTACATTATGTTGAACTGGATTTTTTTTTTATAATGTTAGATCGGTTGCAATGCAGGTTAAATAATCACATTGAACGCATACCTATGCTTTATAAGAATAAAAATGAGGATATTGACAAAACTAACTCGTGAAAGTTTCAGCTCAATAAGTACTTTTAAACAAGAAAAGAAAATATGTGAAGTGATCAGATGAAGCAAAAACCTGTCTTTCTCTGGATTGAGTCACCTGGTAGAACTTAAAATGGGTGATTTCTAATCGCACTGCCTTTACCTAAACAAAACATAGGATATTTTCAGTCTTTAGAGGGTCTCTCATAGTGTTTTATGAACTTCATACGGTACTCTCAAACAGTGCAATCACTTTCAAACTTTGTAGCTAATGCATTGATTTTGTTCAAAATAGAATAGAAATGCTCATAAGACTGATGCCTCAGTTTCACAAATGGGTTTATAAATTTAAAACACAGAATCAAAATCATAATTTGTATAGTTTGGTCACGGGTGGTTTTGTCAATCCCAAAAGCGGGATAAAAGAGTTACTCTGCCTCACAACATTTTGCAAAAAAAAAAAGAAGCCATGTCATACATGTAAGTGTGTTAAAGAGAATCTAGGCGAGGGAAAGATTTCAAACAAGTTGGAATGGTGTCCCCTCTGAGCTTTTAACTATCATGGTTGCTATGGAAACCTGGCCCAATTGCATAAATCTGCTAAGTAGACTATAAACTGCAATTTATATTTAGTTGCTACGGTAATTATTTCCGTAGAACAAGCCGCAAATGATGTTTTGATTGCAGTTATGAATGGTAACCAATATTGTTGCAAAGGAAGCTTGTTTTTATTGCGCTTAGAAGATTCAGTTGTTACATGCAGACGTTTTATGCAATTTGTTCACACAAGATTGTGCAGGCCTACATGTACTTCCAATTTCAAGAATCTTGACACAGTTGTAGGGGACCATTCCATGCAACAATTAAACAGCAATTCTCTTTGACGTAACCATGGAAATCCGGGAAAAAAAGACAAATTGACGAAATTGGTTGCGGGATATCAGTTCCTAATCCTCAGTTTTACTTAGTATTTTAGAATTTGGATTCCTCTGGTTCTTGCATACATATCCACTCTACATGTACATTCATGCAAATGACGTCATGAGCAAAGGGAATTGTAGTCGGCGTATTTAACTGTTTACATAATCAGTAGCTGTAGACATACATGTATTAGTACGAAGCAAATGAATGAAGACAAATGTGAACTAACACCGTTACAGCCGATGCGCTTTCCTAACCAAACCAAATGAAAACCGGTGACTTTTGGCTTAACCCGTGGTTTATTTTTCTCTTTTTCCTTCTCTTTCCTCTTCACACCGCGCGTGCGTGTGTCTTTGGCTTCTCTCACGCAGACCTTTCCAGCATGGTTATGGGAGCGACTCTGCCCCTCCCCAACCCCCTGATGTCATGAATCTCATGATAGACCATGGTACAGTACTGCCTTAATATTTGATCATTTTTTTGTTGTTGTTGTATACACAATATATCTAACTGTTAAAATTATAATCATCCATTGACCAATCGCAGGTGCCTTCAAAAGATTGATTTTGCTCAATATCTTGAATGCTTTTGTTTACAATCAAGGCTGGTTCATATTCGGAGCGGAAGCGAATGCGAACACATTTCAACTCTGGTGAATTTCGCAGCGAATGCTTTGCGACGTCAAATTTGCATCGCATTGGCATGAAGTATGAGCCGGCCTTAAGGCTCCTTTAAATTTGCTTAGCCGAGCACAATTTGGAACTCTGCCGAAAAAATGGATATTTCATTTGGAAGTTCCTGTTGCCTAGATCTGGATTCACAGATACTGATGTATTCGTTGTCACTATCCGAGACGATTATGTGCCAGACGTGTTTCCTCAACAAATATGGGAAAATTACATTCACTCATAACGCATGTAGATTATACAGTGGCTAGTCTGTATGCTTTGAGCAATTCAGAGAGATACGTTGTCAAATACCTGTCATGCTTTTCTCACTCATATGAGTGACAACCTTGACAGATGCATTTGCACTTTCATTAGAGAATTGTAGAAATCGAAACGACTCCTCTTCACATCAAAGCCATCTCAGTAAAACAGTTGTCACGCTTGGCCAAAAAAAGCTTAAATGTCCATGCATACTTTATGAGGTTACAGAGGACGTCAGATGAAAGTTTTCCCTGTCGAGTACGTCCTTGCGCTTAGGGGCCTATAGGCAGAAACATAGCCCGCAATAAAATATTCAACAAATGCAGCGAGTCTGCTAATGGAGTAATTTGGGAAATTTGAGCAAACGAAAAACAGAAATTGGCATGTATGATTAATCATTTGATCCATCTATAAAAAAAACCAGAAGCTCTCCGAACTGAATTTCTTCAGATATTTTGTTACACCTTGCACCTTTGAACAAATAAGTGCCTGCGGACAGTTGGCCTAAAAACGGGTCATACTTGAAGTAATATCCGTGCATGCTTAAGTTCATTTCAAATTTGAATGAAGCAAAAATGTGTACTTGGTCAATGGATGCTTATTACACCCAAAACAATGACGCGGTCAGTACTGTGTTGTAAATACATTTTTTTTTATATAACCATCAATATGTACTTATTAAAAAGATGACCCATGTACAAAATTACCTGTATATGCAACTTTTTAAAACCCTGTGGTGCCTTTTTTCACGCAACAGTTTGTACTTTTTGCTGTTGAATTTTTAATAGAGAAGATGTTTTTGTAAAGTCTACCTTTTGTACTCACTCACGTCAGGGCATTAATTTGACTGGTATTATTTTCGTTGATTTTGACCTGTTACTTTCTTGTTAAGTTGAAAGTTGTTGAAGTGGTGCTCTCAAAAGCTATAGACCGTGGTTATCGACATGAATTTGACAAAGCCAATTATTGGACAACCACTTTTAGTAGCCACTTTTTTTACGCTCTGATTTTCCCCCCATTGTTCCATACGTGTACTTCCACTGCCTCGAGTCAAGGGAAAATAGTTTTGTTCCAGGCAAGTTTTCAAACACAAACAAACATTTGTTCAGCCCCCCAAAATGAGGGCTGCAATTGTAAATCTAGGCAACTCAACGCACAACTCTAGTTCCTGTTGTCAAGACAGAAAATGTGAACCCAGAAAGTTCGAATGTCTGGATTTTCATCTTTGAGTAACCTTCATGAAACTTGATCAAAATAAAGCACAACAAATTGCACAAAATTATTGCGAATAGAAAAATCATGCATTGAGCTTTGGACGAAAAACTGATGCAATGGCAGTACTTAAAAAAAAACAGGGCGGGATGAAAATCCTCCTACTTTTGTTCTGTTGCTTTCTACCGAAAAAGTATTATATTTTTTGTATTTGTATATTTATGATATTGTATGGGGCTTGCAATGGGACAATTATATATCGAGAGCTCAACCTTATTCAGTAAAGATTATATATATTTTCATTACCAAAAAAAAAAAGGAAAGAAGTACTGAATTGGGTAGTCGAGCTAAATGTTTATATATTTTTGTGATGTTCGCCTTAATTTGTTATCCATTTTTTTTGGTGTTTTTTTTACAATTTATACATTACGTACATTTGGGAATTGTGTATCCAATTTTTTGTCTTCCATATTTAGACTATGTTATATCTTGTAAGGGTTTCATATATGGTGGATTATTATTTTAGCGTTATTTGAAGAGGTAGTAGATGTTGTAGGAAGAATAAATATTGTTGAATTGTTCAAGTGTAACAAAGTACCGGTGTAACCACCATTTGAAGTGGAAGGCCTGTTTACATTTGGCTGGCCGGGTACCAGCACTTCTATATTCTTAGTGGAATATCAGTGGCAGGGACCGGCTTTACGTTTGGACAATTCACTTATGAACGTTCTTTGTTTTTTAAGTAGGAGGAACTGTTATAAGTGAGGGTTATTTTTTTTATCAATATGCGTCCGTGTGTAAAATGAGAAAAGTGTTCAATAAAAAAAAAAAAGACAGAAAAAAAGGAAAACAGTCTTACAGTTTATTCATCAAGTTCAGTGATCAGTGTAAATATGAAGAGATGTTCACCCCCTTCTGCCAACAAATGGAATATTCCTCACTGTGCCTTAGTGGATGATTCCATTTAAAAACGGGGGTGACATAATAGTTTCCTGTGCAACTTTCCTTCTTGGACTGATGCTGAAATCTAAGACTGCTGTTGAGTTTTGAAGAAGTGTGCTAATTAACTTAATTCTAATGTCACTACTGTACCCTCACTTTAACACAAATGCTGTAATTAAAGTTTTGCTAGTGTAGAATGTTAAACAGGGATTTTTAAAATGTAACAAATGGTTTATTACATGGTTATTAATATTAATGTTAACAAATTGCGATGCTTTGCAAATGGAATGGTCTCAGTACCAGCAACAGTATAATGCATTAATCTTTATGCATTTGGCTGTACTCAAGGACTAATTTAGCATAGGAAATTCACTCTTATCAAGTTTTTTTTAGGGTTTCATTACAGAATAGAACGTGAGAAAATGAACAAAAAGCGTTACATCAAAATTACTTGTTCTTTGAGACATGTTTATTCGTAAAGCATCGCAGAGTGTACTTTTCTAACAACATTCATTACTTTTGCCAAAAAATCAAACAAACGCCAACCCTATGGAACCTGCCACGTGAGCGCTAAACGACCCGCCAGAGCCCCTAGCCAATGAAAACGCAGCGTGGAATGACGGTAAATTGGTCTCCTGCTGTTCGTTCACGACATCCACTAATACTCAACCTCGTGCCCAGGGGAGGAGGACGACTCAATCTCAAACTCACTTCCTCCCCTCCCTGGGATGGAGGTTGACTAATACTTCAACCCTAATAAGGAATGAACTGATCTTCTTTCTTTGGAATCTTGATTAATTTAATCAATTTAAACCCCGGTACTAAAAGAAAGGGAATAATTTTTATTTTTGTGCATGTGTAGACTAAGATTTCTAGCCCAGTGAAGCTTACCAATTTAAGCTGGATTTCTGGGAAATTTGGACCTTGTTTTTGTAATAATTTTGAATCTTTGTTCAGAATCCTAACGTTTCTACAAAAACAAAATCAAGTTAATTTGGGAGAGTATTATTTACCCCAGATGTTTGAACCGGGCCTTGGATATGTAAGTCTGAATGCATTTCAGGCAGTTTAAAAAATTGACATTTTGAATTGATTGTTCCAGTGTTCAAGGAAAATGGCGTGCTTTAAAACGCTACTTTTACCATATTTACAATGCTCCTTAAAAAAGTTATTAAACTGCCTTGAATGTATTTTGGACGCTTTTGTATTTTGACTCTCATTTTAAAGGGAAGAAAAACCAATTACAAACTAACTTCATCAGTCCAATGTACAGTGAACTAACACAAAGTGACCAGTTGCACCGTGTTGCCTGTCAATTGTGCGCATACACAACCAAGACATTGAAATATTGCATGACACTGCACTGTATACATCATTTTTCCCTATTGAAGCTACAAGTCTATTTTTAATCTTTTTTGGTAAATCTAGTTCTTGAAATTTAAGTTTTCCCCTTTTTTTTGCATAATTGTTACCAATTTCTGCATTTAGTAATTCAGTATGAGGCAAGTTTTATCAGTTTAGGGGAAATGGTAAGGCTTGAAGTAGATATTTTGCAAAAAGTGTCAGCTTTAAATTCATTCAGATTACTCGTAAGAAAATTCCTTTTTCTTATGAAACAGGAGTGCCTCAAAATCAATTAGTTGTACTATAACTTCATATCATTATGTTGTTCCTTCAGTTGGACGTAATTAGGATAAAACGTGTAATCGATTTGTTGTGTTTCAATGAAGACACAAAACCCCAGTAGCTGCCATCTTTAAATTGAGCCCTCTGTTGTTCATGTGAGGCCAGTCCTTGGTTGTGTATGTTGCTTCCTACTCATCAGTGCACAAGGGGAACAGAGATAAAACAAAAATCACTTTATCTCTGTTTTTCCCCGCTGTATCGAATCTTGCTTTTCTCTTTTTTTTATTTCAGCATGGCCTGCCCGCTTTTTTACACACTTTTTGCCGCTGTTTTTTTCCCTGGTAAATTGAACAATTGAAACATTCGTCGATTTCATAACCCCTTCTTTCAAGCATGACCCTTTCTAAAAACACTCTCGTTGAAGTTTGTTTGTTTTGATTTCTCTTCTCTCAATCATCAATTAACCCACATGGTGTATTGTTGAGTAGAAGTGGTTCTCAAATTGCCGTCCTCAGAAATTGTAGTTTTACATTTTTGGTGTCCATCTTTTGATTTATCCCGCTTAAACCACTCATTTATAATTAGACGGACATTTGGGTATAACCAAAACATTTTACAAGTTATCATTGGGCCAACTGTAAAAAAATTTTATTTGCGGCAAAGTTTGATTCTGATATCCAATGGGAGGGAAGTAAGCTAGGTCAGGTGACGTTGATTGGCCAATGGAAGTGTATGTGAGTAACAGCTGATCAGAAACAGCCAATGACAATCAAGTATAAATGGTGTTATTATGTTTTTCCTCCCTCTTGGCCTAACCATTTTATCTTGATTTGCTGAGCTTTTTTTTTTTTATCATTTCATTACCGCTGTAGCAACTGTTGATTTTTTAGCTGTCATAGTTCAGTGGGCTACCTATATCAGGGCATTGTGCTGGTCTCGGCCATACCTAATTGAAATACCATATTGTCCTTGTCTGTGATTGGCCACCGAGTCAAAGAACTGGCACTTTCGGCCAATCACGATTTGTGTATCTAAATCTAATAACTGTTGGCATGGTAAAATGAAACTACCACAGCTTTTAAGTGATGAGGTTTCATCTTCAGTAGAAATAATAACTTCCATGCTTTTTCAGCGGGTGCTAACTAACTTTAAACCTTGTGAACTCGATGAAAAAGCATGGAAAGAAATTCCAATCTCCCAACAGCATAATGCCCACATTTTCATCAGTGTTATTGACAGGAATACCTTGTTGGCACATGTATTACTAATAAATCCTCGATGTAGCTTTCTTTTAGTTATGTGTACATTTGACACCAAGAGTTTCAGATGACCTGGGTCATATGTCGTGACCTGCATCACAGTGTCAGTGACCCGGGTCGCGACCTTTGCCATTCTATCATGCATGTGATAATTTGTGTACAGATGTCTTTTAATATATAATATGCTATTGTGTCTTTTTAAAATCACATACCAATAATTCCGAAAAAAACAAAATACTAAAATTGAAGAGCTAACACTGTGTTTCTTTTTACCTTTTCTTCCCCATTTTTTTTTGGTTTCATTAACACTCTTTAGCTGTCATTGAATAAGCCAGCAACTAACCCCCCAAGCAACAACTGCACAGGGTCACAAGCATTTGCCTCCCACTCCTACCTGCAACCACAGCGACTGCTGGTTGGGTTACCAATGATTGCATCCCTGGTACCCCTGCGGCCGACATCATCTACTTGAGGAGTTCATCTTTTGCCTGTACTTACAGCAAGCACCGCTTAATTTGTCTCTGAATAACCAAAATCCAGTTTTAAATACGCCTGTCATTAATATGAGATTCACAGAAAACTTAAGAAAAAACAAAACAAAAAATGCCCCATTAATACTAATATATTGACCGGTGTGTGTTTTGTAACTGCCTATGTCAAAGTAGGTTTATAGAAATTGGTGCCAAGTTTATGTGTTGGGAGGAAAGATGTTGCCCGGCATGACGATTTTGTTGCGAACTATCTGAAATAATCTCATCAGAACCCATTCTTTGAAAAAAATGTTGCGAGGACCAGTTGTTTTTCTGTGCATGAAAATTGAGACTCTGCAACATCTTTCTCCCCATCTGCTGACTAAAGTACGGACACAGCGGAAGACTATGGGAATGCTTCGTGGCACCAGACACACTTGTTCTTTACTATTCTATTGCTGGGTGTCTGCACATCTTCTTAAGAACACCCAGAAATAGATGGATTAATTTGCTGCCACCAACATTTTCAGAAGTCTCTCCATAATTGCACTCTAAGGCCAATGCATAACCCTAACTCCAAAAAGTCCCTAAAAGTTGTTAAAATAACTTGTCAAATTGCTGTTTGGTTGCAATTTTTAACAAAGCACTTTTCTCTAAATTTATAAATCTGTTATTGAGATACATATATGTTCCTAAAATTAATAACAATAATGATTTTGACATCACACTCATTTTCTCTACAAATTAATTTTGTTGAGTAATTCCCCCTACTGGGCCAGTGGAATGCTCTTCTGATATCACTGGCAATGAATATTCATGTTCACCCATATCGTTCATTGGATTTAATCTGAGCTTTGTGATTGGTTGAAATCTTTTGCCTTGCATAACAACTCGAGGTACCTGACTGTCAGGTGACATTAGGTGACCATTCCATTGTGTTAGTAGGGTGGTTTGTAAGCATTCAAGATTCATTGTGTGTAGTTCTGTAATATTAATGAAAAAATCTTATGCTGTGTTCCAGTTGCATCATTTTTTGGATTGTTGATTTTGTAATCAGGCTTCGAATGCACTATAAACCAACGCTGCTATATTTGAAGTCAAGAGAAATTTTGTTTCACATTCTGCACCGATGCACATGGTATTCGGTGCATTAACTTAAAGTGCTGCAATCTCTATTTTCAAATTTAGTAAAGATCAACACCTGAAACGTAATGCAACCAGAACACAGCATATTTCAACTTTTGTGGATGTTTCATGCTCATTCCCACTAAGTTTTACATAACAGGTTTTCTACAGAAATAATAATAGGAAACAGCTTTAATATTGTTACTTTAACTTACTCAGCATGCTTAACTAAGTGCCATTTAAAACACAGGCATAAAAGGGCTTATAAGCTTACAAAATTGCTTAGCACAAAGAATTTGTGCGTACAGGGAAGAGAGAAGCAGATGTTCCAGCCAAAAATTTCAACGAATGGAATATTGAGACTGATTGTCAAACTAATATTGCTCTTTTGCTTAACACAAAAAGACCCGACCAAAAAAAAATCTGTTTGAAATATTTGAGTGCCTCTTGTACAAGCAATAACCCCAGAAAGTGCTGAATACATTGCAGCTTGGCACAGGGCCAAGATACTGGCGAATAGTCTGGCATTAGTAACAACACACAAGTTAAATTACAGGGTAGAGCAACCAAGCTTTTTAGATATTATACAGTTTCTTGAGTGCCTAAACTTTGAATTGAGTACACAAATGTGTACTCAATTTTCACAAAATTTACAATTTAAGTCAAAGATTTTGATGATGTGATTCTTAGTTCGGGATTTTGGCAAATTCCTGCCCGTTCCCATTGGTTGAAACATTGGAGATCATTTGAATGACAATAGTCCAACCAGCGCACACACTCTCAAAGCAACCAATGAGAAGCAGTGCTTAGTTCTATTTGCATTTTACTGGTCGTTAATGAGCCAATGGCATAGCTGCAGAATTTTGTTTGTCAGGGATGATCTTATCTATAAGCCTGAAGCTCTTGACCATCTGTTTGAAACCTGGTATTTTCATCTGAGGTGAGTACATTTGTCAGTGAAGAAGAACATTCGAAGCATCAAATTAAAAGGATCCCTTTAGTGGATGAGGGCATGTTTTAATAATTTCTTAACGACAGTTGGAACTGAAATTTGCATTGCTGTTGGGGGGGGGGATAAATTAAAACCCAACAGATATCAGAAAGCATAACCGTTGTTGTGAGCAGGCACAAATGTAGTCGTCAAAACCATTTCAAAAAAACAAAAAAAAAATCAGAAAAAAATATTAAAATAATAAAAAGTACCAAAAAAATAATATACAAAAACAATGTAAGATATGTAGGAGCCATTTGGTGACATGACACATAGGTCAGTGATGACATCATCAAATTTGCATATTTAGAGGTCACATGACAATGCCACAGCTGCCTCAAAGCTTCTCAGGGAATGAATTGGAAGGTTTTACAAACTTAGGTGGCTGTAAGGTTATGCAGGTGGCAGCTGTACATCAAACACACCCGCAACGAAAGTAGGAGAAAAATTGTTTTCCATGAGAATTCTCTGACTTGGTGAATTCCCTGAAATAAAAATCCATATACTTCAAAAGTGTGACTTCAATTTGGAGAAACATATACATCACAACAAAATGTATAAAGTTAAATGTATCCACTGTTGATTGGTGAAGAAAAAAAAACAAGTTCTTCAGATTTTGGATTTGACGTTGAATTCCTGTAAGTGTATGAAACTGTAAACATTAGATACACAGATTTTGTGGAACTTTTTGTTGTGATTAGACCCAGAACGTAGTACAAGTTAAATATATGTACAGCCAAGTATTACCAAGCAAAGTCGAAGTGCTTCCATATTACTGCACTGTATAAGGGGTCTATTTTCCCCACAAAAAGCAAGCATTTGTACTTAAAGAATTCTTGTTTAATATAAAAAAAAGAGAGGATGAAGGAAAAATTGGGAAAAAAAATTAAATGGTATGTTTTATGAGGAGGCTGATTAAATATTAAGCATTACACGTAAAGGTTGAATTGTTTTTGGAAAGAGATAAAAAAAAAAAAAAGTTGACAAGGCATTTGGGTTGATTAGTTAGATTTTTTTTACCGAAGGAAACGGAGGAATTTTATTTCTGTTGTGATTTGCGAGTTGTTTATGATTGGAGATGTTCTGTTGGATATGCAAAGACTGGTTTGAATTTTGTTGATGCGCAGTGGAATCAACCACAAAGTATTTTTTGAACCACGAGTATTAAAGGGCAATGTTCCCCTGACACATAGACTTAAAAACACAAACCCAAGCCAAATATGTAAAGAGGCAAAAGAAGCCACTACTAGCCAATTAAAATACATCTTTCTACACCATCCTTACCACAAAGAAAACAAATTTACAACCTAGGGATATGTTTTCATACTGCACATTTACTGAAGTTTTATAACTTAATATTACACTTGTTTTTAGTTACACAAAAAAAATGATTAGTAATTAACAAGATCTGACCATCTATAACTTTTGATTTCATGTTTTGTGTTAGCTTTTCCCTGTGCATGCAAAATACAGACCAGTCTGAAGAAAACAATATTACCATCTCGCATTATGCATTATGTATCATAGCTGGAGTGTGTGACATTTATAATATGCATATTTACCTATATTCACTGTTATATTTACTCTTTGTTTTGGTAGTTTTGGTTGTTAGGACTTGCAGCTTTGGTGATATGTGAGAAAATAGCATTGGTAGATTTAGCTTTACAAATCCTGCGTTCAGAATAGTTTGTCGGGAATATATTCCATGAACAGTCTTGCCATGCGTGAAGTCACTCCAAGAAACCAAGATAACTGACAATTCTTTTTAAAAATTTCTGTCGATTAATTGTATCCAAAGAAATATTGGCTTTTCTTTAATTAAAATGGGAGTCTTGACCAATATTGACCCAAGTAATAACCAGGCTGACAATGCATGTTTCCATAGGAGGGTTAATGGTCAGTGATATAATTTGTCACTTGTACCACAACTTTATTCAAAATTTCCAAAAGTTTGCACATTTTTATTCCCAAATTTAAAGAGGATAGAAAAAATTAAGTAATTCAAAGTCAATCTTCTAAAGTTACACTTTGGGTCTGGTTTCTGCCTCCTAATGTATGCTATTTGCATTTCCTAACAGACAGAAGATTACATTGGCTGTCTGGAGCGGATTTGTAACTTAATCATTCATAATGGACCAATCAAAATGAAGAATACAAAGAAAGTCTGTTTTTTCCCCTTCTTCTGATCACAAGGAGTTTAATACTGACTTCAAAAATGTGAGGAAAATATTTAAAAATTTAAGTTCACAGTCAGTTTGGATGTTTTTTGTTTGGCTTTTAACATCATCAAACAGGGTATGTATGAAGAGGTTATTTATTTTGTTCGACATTCAGTTTCTAAAGAGAATAATCATTACATCTAGCACGACCAGTAAAACATATTGTTTTCCAAACGAAATAAGTTGTAACAAAATTGAAAGTAAATTAATTTGACTTTGCTTGGCTGAAAAGTACATTTTGTTGGTTGTAAAGATGCTTAGAATATTGAGCAACTGTCGATGGGTCAAAATTTTGCTGGTCAGAAAGCATGTGACAAAAATAGAACCAGAAATGCATTTTAAAAGTGATTGATGCCTGATTATACTAACATACGGATATAGCAGGGTCTTTTACATATTGAATGAAGACAAGAATAGAATGTTGGAGTGACTTTAGTAGTATTATTGACCAACCCCGTACGGTAGTAAACAAATATATACCATATCCCTTAACAATAGTATTATAAACTCAAGGGTATACATTATTTTCTCTTATGTCATAGTACGCAGACTGTAAGTAGGATAAAATAGAAACGTATTTCATTCGCATGCTTGTTTTGTACTTTGTAAAAAAAAAAAAAAATAACGAACATTGTATAAACGGTTTATACTCATACCATGTTTTGTCTTAAAATCAGGGTATATCGAGACCTGACGCCACGACATCGTAGACTCAGAAATGGCAGATCGAGTATTGTTTGTCATTCTGGTTTGCTCTAATGTGCCTTCTTTAAGAAAGGAAAATACATTGTACATGTATATAAGATCGAGAATTGTGGAGGGTATTCTTTTACCGGGGGGGGGGGGGGGCGGGGGGGGGGCTGTTGTGGGAGTTATATTTGTAGGCAAGGGATAATGAAATACATTCGCACCTAGTAATTTATGTCTTCGTTGAGTAAGGAGTAACACGGGAGACTAATATGGCAGTGCTAGGAGTCACTGAATGCGAAATTATGGTTCATTTGTTCATTAGGTTGACTTTATGGCATCACTCATGGCTGCAATATATTGGAAGGGGGTGGGGTGGAAGGGGGGGGGGGAGTTTTGCGCTGCATGCCTGAATTATTTTTATAGCCAAATTCACTTTTATTTCTCATTCACTGAACAAACAACCAACACTAAAAAGTCTCGTTGAAACCAATGAGCTGCTTTTGCAGATCTTTAAAACAAATGTGATTATAGAGAGTGCCCTCTATAATTTGCCCATCCTGTTTGTATCAAACCTTACAGTCTTGTAGTGACCCCATAGAAGTGTATTTAATTTTTTGTTTTATTTATCTCTACTAGGTCTTTACACATGTATATTGTTTACCATTCTTTTGGGTTTCATTGTTATTAGTATATGCAACAGTTATGCAACATTTATTTATTCACGTTATGCATTATTTTTGTTACCGTTTATACCCTATAGGCATTTCTATCAGTTTCTTTTTCAACTTGATTTCAAGTTCCTTTATAAAATTGCTTCAAATTTCAATTTTTTTTTTTTTTTTGGTAATTCGTGAAGTGCTGAATTAAGCATGCCATTTTCTTCCCTTTAATTAGTCTTGAAAGAGCCTTAATATTACTTTATATTCATGAGCCAATTCAAAGATCAAAGGTCAACAAATTTGAAAACCATTTGACCCCTGATATGCGATTAATTAGTATTACATGTACATACATTCATCAAATTCTTCCGGTTTCCAAGTAATTGTTCTTCCCAGTAGATTTTCCAATTAATCCAAATTTTATTTGCTTCCGAACGTTACCCTAAAAAATTTGAATTGGATTGCGACACATATGTTCTATTCTGTTTGTTTGAATGATATCAGTGATTCCATATTTTTTTTTTTTTTTTTTTTTGGGGGGGGGGGGGTGATTCTTTAAGAAATTTGTTTCCGTCAAAAATAACTAAAGGAAAATGCAATACCAGAATTGATTTTTATGCAAAACATTTTGTTCTGAATTATCACCGTCTATCTATGCATTGAATGAACAACACCATCAAGGGTGTTCATTCGTAATAACAATAAATATGTAATCTCTTCGTATACAGATAGACTAGACATTTAGCTAGTTTACCATAGTTGAACATGTAGATATGTTTTCTCTTTGTTTGCTTTTTGTTTTTTTTGTGTTTTTTGTTTCCTGAAAAGCAAGAAAAGTTGTATATTCATGTATTTTTGTATGGAATATTGTACTTAGTAGTCCTTATTATGATTTGTTGTAGTGGTAGACAATTTTGATGGAGTTGATGTGCCTCCTGTTTAGATAAAAACAAGAAAACAGTTGTTTTTAAAGTTGAAATACATCTGCGCTGGTTAACACTGAAAACTGCAGAATTAATTGCAAAACATGTGGTTGTTAAACACAACTTCAGTTTATTTTTCAGAAATTCTAAGTTACAGTGCTCCCAAAAACAACTTTATCATTTGTCAATAAACGGAGATAAACAAAGCATTTTTCTGGGGGGGGGGGGTGGCAAATTAATTGTGCTTCATCAAGGAAAACAGTTACACTGGTTCGTTACAGTCTTTGTACTTTTTTGTTCACAGTTCTCTGACAGAACACTCAACTATGGGAAGAAGGATGAAAATTCCATTTTTGTTCAACTTGCAGTGGCATAAAAAGTTATCCATATTGCAATGAAGATGACAGTAAGTTTCAGTTTTTTTGTTTCAACTTACAGTTTTTTGTTTTGTTTTAAATAAACAGGAGGCCATTGATTTGAGTAGATTTGAATTTAAAAATGAACTTGTTGATAGCATTTACTACAAGGAATTCGTTATTTTTTACAATTTACCATAACTGATTGTTATTTCATTGAAAATGTTTTGATATTATTCGTCATTAAAACAAAGTTAAAAAAAAGTTACTTGTTTGGATTGTCTTTTGGTAGTCAAAAACGTTTGTTTTTACACATAAAAAAGAACTAGAACAATCTGATTTTTAAAAATAAATTTGATACGTACCTCATATAGTGTTCCTTGTAATATACATGTTGCAAAGCTTTGCAAGAATTAAGAATATTCATATTTAAGTTCGCTCCTGATGAATATTCATCAGGGATTCTCGTGACATGATTGGTAGGTTGGCACCATGTATCTGATGTACGTGTATGCCTCGTCGCCGCCGTAGCGCTCTAGCGCCCTCAATGTTTCTTCTATCAGATCGCCGATATTCTCTCGCCTGTGTTGGCTGTATTCGATTCCGTCGCCAAGGTTGACTGATACCGAAAAGTGAAGATTCATATTTCAGAGAGGTAAGATATTGAGAAAGGGAGGTTAAAAATTAGATTCATATGAACACTTAAAGCATTTTCTTGTCCACTTTTATTTATTCAACTTGTGCGTTGTGCGGTACAGCTCATCAAAAATTAAAATATCGACAATCTAGTGCGCGTGCGCGTGCCAGCATAAGATAGGCTAGGCAAACATAAACGTAACCGCGTAAATAATTGTTTGTATCTTTTCATGAAAACAATTTGGAAATAACGGAATTAAATTCTAGACTGCATAGGCCTAACTTTTCTTGCAAAACATTTGTCCATAATTATAAAGCAATATGGTACTTTTATCGCTTCGTCACAATCCCGGTTTCGGGCAAAAATCATACTCGAAAATGAATATTTTCGAAAATGAACAGAAGGCCTACTCCAACGATTAAATTCAAATGTGTGTTGCATTCAAATCCATCCAATACACATAATAACGGCAGAATTACTCACAGTTTTGACTCTTGAAGATGTTGAGGACGGGCAGAATGTGTCGGTAATAGGGCACCAATGCCTCACCAACCAGCTCTGCCGAACGCACGAGATGCTGCAGGACTTTCAAAGTGGTGCACACTAGTTGCTTGTTGCGTGTATTCAGAGCCTCTGTATGTTAACAAGCTACAGGATTATTTTGAGGTTCAAGAGGTCAGTGACAGCATTTAGGACACAAAAGTCAGAATAGCTATGAAGCGCAGTACAGTGAAATCTCTGATAACTCAAAACAAAGAATCCATTGCCTTCATTAGTATAATACCTGCTTAACTAAACTCTGCATGCTTAAGTCAAATTTTGAACCTGTTCTCTTGAGGTTCGATTTATCAAGATTTCACCACTGGTGAGACGTCTCTTTTGAATGCCGAATACCTTGCCCATAGTCCACCCCGCATTTTCCCCATTTTGGAGATAAGTTTCGTATACGTACCTTTGAGTGGGATAATTAGTTGTGGAACCACGGGCAGTATTTTCGTTCCTCCGTGCTCAAGTAGATCGCTGATACCTTGATAGGCAAAGAAGCTGTAGGGATGGTCCATTTCGGTGAGACCGTCAAAGAATAACGGGAGGTAGTGGTGGTAGTCGAGCTCCTCTAACTCTCTCTGATATTAAAATGGGAGGAGTCCATGCAAATTTTTAGACAAGGAGGGAAAATGTGGGCGGGACAGACAACTTCATTCAACTGTGTTAAGAATGTACGGCCTCGGAAGGAAGAGGGCAAAAATAAATCTCCCAAAACATTCGTTTTATAGCTCCATGCCTATAATCAATTTAACCCTATAAACGTATCTGAATCCATCAAAATCCATACCCCATTTTAAGAAAATATCGACGGATTCAGGATACCTCCATACTGAAAACAGGGGGATTTTGATGATTCAGGATTGTAAGCCTAGCGGCGTTGCAGGTTTTGATGGATTCAGGATACCTCCATACTATGATCGAGAATGCAGTCACCAACACCAAAATATGTGTGCATGAAAATGAACCAATAGGCCTAGGTGGATTTTGGTGAATTCCGTTCACCTTCCAGATGATCTTGTTGCCCATGGAGTCGTGCTGTAACACGATAGGGAGGTCTCCCCTATCGTACAGTTTCCTGAAGATGCTGGGCGGAGCTTCTCTCGCCCTGGTGGCCCCCGCCAATGGTGGCTTCGTCATGCCGTTCTCTTGTTTCCATTTTGGAATCAAACACACGCTTGAAGGAGCAGCCATGTTTAATCACAACTTGAAATAACGACGCCCAATGGCAATGCTAGGCAAGAAGGAAGATCAAGTTTTGGATTTTCTGTGTCCTGTGGATTTTGTACGCGAGGAACTAACTTGATACGTATCGACTTTACTACCACGCCGACTGAGAGCGGGAGCCGCGTCTGATATTCCATGTTGGAGCGCTGTTCCTATCCCGCGCGGCGCGGCGTCGCGGCGTCGCATCAACGTCGAGTTCTCCGCGTTTCCTCATTGCAACCTTCGCCCCGTAGGCATCATTCCTGCAAATTTCAAACGATTTCATATTTTGGCCTCAATTGACATTTGTTTTCAAGGGTTCAGCCTTACATTTTTTTCATGAAATTCGGCAGAAAGTTCATTGTTTCTGAGATGTTTCCAGAAAATAAAATTTTGACCAAGAGCTGCTTAAAATCTAAAGGGTTTACCCCTTGCAACTTGCAGGGAAGATGCCTCAGGGTCCCTAGGGCACATTCGAACAGAAATTTGGGACAGATTTGTCATTTTAAAGAAAAATTGCGTCGATGATTTGGGTCAAAATTAGTTAAAATTATTAATAATTGTCTTAATAAGTCGGTGATTTTTGCCCAAATCTTCAATATGTTTAGTGTTTGAAGGTCGATTGATGTTTTGGCCGAAAAATGAAATTGCTTGAAACTTGCAGGGAAAGATGCCTGAGGGTCCCTAGAGCACATTCGAACTCAAATTTTGGACAGATTTGGCATTTTTAAATACATTTTCGATAATTTGGGTCAAAATGAGTGAAAATTATTAATTTTTGTCTGAATAAGTCGGTGATTTTTGCCCAAATCTTCAATATATTTAGTGTTTGAAGGTCGATTGATGTTCCTCTTGCATCCAAAGACATTTCTGAGTTGTTTGTAGAAAAATCAATTTTTGGCCAAATTTGATCAAAAAGTAAGGCTAACCCCTTACATTTTTTTTCAATTTTGGCCGAAAAATGAAATTGCTTGAAACTTGCAGGAAAGATGCCTGAGGGTTCCTAGAGCACATTCGAACTGGAATTTTGGACATATTGGGCATTTTAAAGAAAGATCGCGTCGATAATTTGGGTCAAAATGAGTGAAAATTATTAATATTTGTCTGAATAAGTCGGTGATTTTTGCCCAAATCTTCAATATATTTAGTGTTTGAAGGTCGATTGATGTTCCTCTTGCATCCAAAGACATTTCTGAGTTGTTTGGAAAAGTCAATTTTTGGCCAAATTTGATCAAAAAGTAAGGCTAACCCCTTACATTTTTTTTCAATTTTGGCCGAAAAATGAAATTGCTTGAAACTTGCAGGAAAGATGCCTGAGGGTCCCTATAGCACATTCGAACTGGAATTTGGGACATATTGGGCATTTTCAAGAAAGATCGCGTCGATAATTTGGGTCAAAATGAGTGAAAATTATTAATTTTTGTCTGAATAAGTCGGTGATTTTTGCCCAAATCTTCAATATATTTAGTGTTTGAAGGTCGATTGATGTTCCTCTTGCATCCAAGGACATTTCTGAGTTGTTTGGAGAAAAGTCAATTTTTGGCCAAATTTGATCAAAAAGTAAGGCTAACCCCTTACATTTTTTTTCAATTTTGGCCGAAAAATGAAATTGCTTGAAACTTGCAGGAAAGATGCCTGAGGGTCCCTATAGCACATTCGAACTGGAATTTGGGACATATTGGGCATTTTAAAGAAAGATCGCGTCGATAACTTGGGTCAAAATGAGTGAAAATTATTAATTTTTGTCTGAATAAGTCGGTGATTTTTGCCCAAATCTTCGATATATTTAGTGTTTGAAGGTCGATTGATGTTCCTCTTGCATCCAAGGACATTTCTGAGTTGTTTGGAGAAAAGTCAATTTTTGGCCAAATTTGATCAAAAAGTAAGGCTAACCCCTTACATTTTTTTTCAATTTTGGCCGAAAAATGAAATTGCTTGAAACTTGCAGGAAAGATGCCTGAGGGTTCCTAGAGCACATTCGAACTGGAATTTTGGACATATTGGGCATTTTAAAGAAAGATCGCGTCGATAATTTGGGTCAAAATGAGTGAAAATTATTAATTTTTGTCTGAATAAGTCGGTGATTTTTGCCCAAATCTTCAATATATTTAGTGTTTGAAGGTCGATTGATGTTCCTCTTGCATCCAAAGACATTTCTGAGTTGTTTGGAGAAAAGTCAATTTTTGGCCAAATTTGATCAAAAAGTAAGGCTAACCCCTTACATTTTTTTTCAATTTTGGCCGAAAAATGAAATTGCTTGAAACTTGCAGGAAAGATGCCTGAGGGTTCCAAGAGTACATTCGAACTGGAATTTTGGACATATTGGGCATTTTAAAGAAAGATCGCGTCGATAATTTGGGTCAAAATGAGTGAAAATTATTATTTTTTGTCTGAATAAGTCGGTGATTTTTGCCCAAATCTTCGATATATTTAGTGTTTGAAGGTCGATTGATGTTCCTCTTGCATCCAAAGACATTTCTGAGTTGTTTGTAGAAAAGTCAATTTTTGGCCAAATTTGATCAAAAAGTAAGGCTAACCCCTTACATTTTTTTTCAATTTTGGCCGAAAAATGAAATTGCTTGAAACTTGCAGGAAAGATGCCTGAGGGTTCCTAGAGTACATTCGAACTGGAATTTTGGACATATTGGGCATTTTAAAGAAAGATCGCGTCGATAATTTGGGTCAAAATGAGTGAAAATTATTAATTTTTGTCTGAATAAGTCGGTGATTTTTGCCCAAATCTTCAATATATTTAGTGTTTGAAGGTCGATTGATGTTCCTCTTGCATCCAAGGACATTTCTGAGTTGTTTGGAGAAAAGTCAATTTTTGGCCAAATTTGATCAAAAAGTAAGGCTAACCCCTTACATTTTTTTTCAATTTTGGCCGAAAAATGAAATTGCTTGAAACTTGCAGGAAAGATGCCTGAGGGTTCCTAGAGCACATTCGAACTGGAATTTTGGACATATTGGGCATTTTAAAGAAAGATCGCGTCGATAATTTGGGTCAAAATGAGTGAAAATTATTAATTTTTGTCTGAATAAGTCGGTGATTTTTGCCCAAATCTTCAATATATTTAGTGTTTGAAGGTCGATTGATGTTCCTCTTGCATCCAAAGACATTTCTGAGTTGTTTGGAGAAAAGTCAATTTTTGGCCAAATTTGATCAAAAAGTAAGGCTAACCCCTTACATTTTTTTTCAATTTTGGCCGAAAAATGAAATTGCTTGAAACTTGCAGGAAAGATGCCTGAGGGTTCCTAGAGTACATTCGAACTGGAATTTTGGACATATTGGGCATTTTAAAGAAAGATTGCGTCGATAATTTGGGTCAAAATGAGTGAAAATTATTATTTTTTGTCTGAATAAGTCGGTGATTTTTGCCCAAATCTTCGATATATTTAGTGTTTGAAGGTCGATTGATGTTCCTCTTGCATCCAAAGACATTTCTGAGTTGTTTGTAGAAAAGTCAATTTTTGGCCAAATTTGATCAAAAAGTAAGGCTAACCCCTTACATTTTTTTTCAATTTTGGCCGAAAAATGAAATTGCTTGAAACTTGCAGGAAAGATGCCTGAGGGTTCCTAGAGTACATTCGAACTGGAATTTTGGACATATTGGGCATTTTAAAGAAAGATCGCGTCGATAATTTGGGTCAAAATGAGTGAAAATTATTAATTTTTGTCTGAATAAGTCGGTGATTTTTGCCCAAATCTTCAATATATTTAGTGTTTGAAGGTCGATTGATGTTCCTCTTGCATCCAAAGACATTTCTGAGTTGTTTGGAGAAAAGTCAATTTTTGGCCAAATTTGATCAAAAAGTAAGGCTAACCCCTTACATTTTTTTTCAATTTTGGCCGAAAAATGAAATTGCTTGAAACTTGCAGGAAAGATGCCTGAGGGTCCCTAGAGCACATTCGAACTGGAATTTTGGACATATTGGGCATTTTAAAGAAAGATCGCGTCGATAATTTGGGTCAAAATGAGTGAAAATTATTAATTTTTGTCTGAATAAGTCGGTGATTTTTTCCCAAATCTTCGATATATTTAGTGTTTGAAGGTCGATTGATGTTCCTCTTGCATCCAAAGACATTTCTGAGTTGTTTGGAGAAAAGTCAATTTTTGGCCAAATTTGATCAAAAAGTAAGGCTAACCCCTTACTTTTTTTTTCAATTTTGGCCGAAAAATGAAATTGCTTGAAACTTGCAGGAAAGATGCCTGAGGGTCCCTATAGCACATTCGAACTGGAATTTGGGACATATTGGGCATTTTCAAGAAAGATCGCGTCGATAATTTGGGTCAAAATGAGTGAAAATTATTAATTTTTGTCTGAATAAGTCGGTGATTTTTGCCCAAATCTTCAATATATTTAGTGTTTGAAGGTCGATTGATGTTCCTCTTGCATCCAAGGACATTTCTGAGTTGTTTGGAGAAAAGTCAATTTTTGGCCAAATTTGATCAAAAAGTAAGGCTAACCCCTTACATTTTTTTTCAATTTTGGCCGAAAAATGAAATTGCTTGAAACTTGCAGGAAAGATGCCTGAGGGTCCCTAGAGCACATTCGAACTGGAATTTTGGACATATTGGGCATTTTAAAGAAAGATCGCGTCGATAATTTGGGTCAAAATGAGTGAAAATTATTAATTTTTGTCTGAATAAGTCGGTGATTTTTGCCCAAATCTTCGATATATTTAGTGTTTGAAGGTCGATTGATGTTCCTCTTGCATCCAAAGACATTTCTGAGTTGTTTGTAGAAAAATCAATTTTTGGCCAAATTTGATCAAAAAGTAAGGCTAACCCCTTACATTTTTTTTCAATTTTGGCCGAAAAATGAAATTGCTTGAAACTTGCAGGAAAGATGCCTGAGGGTCCCTAGAGCACATTCGAACTGGAATTTGGGACATATTGGGCATTTTCAAGAAAGATCGCGTCGATAATTTGGGTCAAAATGAGTGAAAATTATTAATTTTTGTCTGAATAAGTCGGTGATTTTTGCCCAAATCTTCAATATATTTAGTGTTTGAAGGTCGATTGATGTTCCTCTTGCATCCAAGGACATTTCTGAGTTGTTTGGAGAAAAGTCAATTTTTGGCCAAATTTGATCAAAAAGTAAGGCTAACCCCTTACATTTTTTTTCAATTTTGGCCGAAAA